TTTGGGAAAGGAACTGAGTTTGGCTATTGAACCCCTGTGGTGAGTCCCCTGAAGTGGGTAGTGGTAAGTCATTTTCCCAACATGAGGCCACCTGGTCCTCCTTATCCCTGTCTCTAATGGAAATGACATCATTTTCCATCTTATTTAATATTGTTTTTGAGCCAAGGTTATTGAACGCATGGCTAAATGGAAAATAGCCATTGTGGCTGACTGCTTACCTGTCCTATGTGACTGGACAAGATTCCCTGGGAGTTCGGGAGCTGTAGGGAGTCAAGTGGAGTGGGTGATGACAGGGCTAATTGGTTTCTGTTTGTGAGGCAGAACTAATGAAATTCACATCACACCGTGGGAAGGGTTGCATAAGCAGGTGAACTGCTTTCCCTGATTCACCAGAACAATGAACATGCATGAGCATTTTATTGCCATGGCAGCGCTGGCACAAAAGTAAGTGAAAACCGCAGAAATGCAAGGTGAGAACAGCAGATGTGAGATAAGTCAAGCCGGGCTGTGCTCACACGCGCTCATGTGCGCTCATGCGTGCCCACATGTGGACACTCTTGTTTGCATTGCGCTATCAGGGGCTGGGAGGCAGCTCAGGGTTAGATCTTGGGAAGAGCGTGCGTGAATTAGGCCTCGATTATCCCAGAGATGGTACTCCAGCATTAATCTTAGAAACACAAAAGGCTCAAAGAGGACGACTGACCACTTTAGCAGGTTCCCAGTGCTAATATATTGTTGGTGGTTTACTTTTAACAGAATCAAATTTTAATATTACCCTGTTTTTTTATTTTTCATAGAAAATTTACATTTAAGAAAAAAATCAGTCATGCTCCTATTTGGGCCTGGGTTGCTCTGATGCTGTCTGTTGCCCTCTGTGATAGATGAATGTCTGTCACACTCAAGCAATATGTGGTTGTGAGTACAGTATGTTTCTAATGGAGGAACCTTAGAGGAACAGACTCCAGCGCTATGGGAAATTGTACCTACCTGTGCCTGCACTGTGAATCCAAGACTACAGGGTCTCAGACAACCCAGGCTGGCCTTGAACTTTCCGTATAGCTGACCTCATGACTCTCCTTCTAACTCCCAAATTCTGGAATTGTAGGCCCATGACACCAAATCTGGATCAAAGCTCTTAAAGGAGAACCTGAACAAGTCAGAACCTGACTGATAAAAGTATATGCAATACTCATCAATGTTGTTCTTTAGAAATGAGTGAGAAAGTCTGAGCCAAGCGAAAGCTGACAGTGTTCATCACCACCAGACCCACTTGCAAGAGATGCCTCTGGGGATTGCAGTACATCACGCTTCTTCTGTTGCATAATGGCTTTATTCCATGGAGACAAGCTAGACCCATCTTTCAGCTAAAATTCACAAATTGAGTCCAATATGAAAAGATGTATTGTTTAGGAGTATTAAAATCAAACCCAGCTCTCACGTGTGCCTTATGTCACAGCCCATGTCACTTTCAACTTGCTTTGGATTTGTTGTTTGTGATTCAGGAAACCAAACACGGGTTTTAAACCTCAGAAGCTACCTGGAGGAGGGGAATGGAGAAAAGAAGGGAAGAAAAACTAAAGCCATGTTGAGTTAAGATGAGTCAGCCACATGGTAGGAAAGGAAACTTTGGAGAAAGGGTAGGGAAACCTCGGGTCCCGGAAAAAACATGTAGGTTCTTACCAGCATCTGAATACAGAGAGAGAAGAAGGGAAAGGTGTGTTCTTTACGAGTAAGAATTCAGAAAGATGCCCCTACCTAGCAGGACCTAGTGGCGGCTTGTAGGGCCTGGACTCTGCAAAGTATTTCTTTTGTTCAGCTAAAGACTGGGTCGTTTCCTACTTCCTTGTGGTGCCCCTAGCCATATCCCTAACATTGGCTTTAACCCAGAGCTAAGCAAGGCCCTCAGTTATTTTTTTACATTACCTCTCTTCTGAGCTGTTATTAATGGTGCTGACTATGTATAACTGCATGGCAGACAGCTATTCTGTAGCCTTTTTATTTCTTAAGCTAGAATTAAATTTTGTACCAAGAATCATTTGAAGTTCAGTGAAATTGTGGATAACACTTGAACTAAATTGCCTTGTGACTATTTTTGCATCGGCATATATAAGCACCTTGATCATTCCAGAAATAAAGCTTAGGGTTTGCTGTGAATTCAAGTATTGGTAGTTCTAGTAAAGCTAGTTATTGCCGCAAATAGAACAGAATAGCAAACAACATAGAAACAGTGTGGGAAGGAAGACTGACTGCACCTTCGTTTCCTCCAAGCAACAAATTCTTTAGAAAGCACACACGCATACACACGTGCGCACGCACACACACACACACATCACGCACGCACACACATACACACAAACAAAAACCAGTATGGGAAGGAAGTCTGGCTACACCTTCATTTCCTTCATGAAGGATAGGCAGGCACAATTCACTTCCCTCTGTCTGTTCCTCAAACATCTCCTTACACTGCCTCTCCAGCTCCGGTGAAGGGAGAACAGCCTTTTAAGGCAAGAAGAGAGAGGCATTGGAGACACAGGTCAGTCAGCAGACACTTACCACTGACTTCTACTTAAAGAGGATTTGCCCATTTTCTTTGAGGGTGTGAATTTGTTCTCAGAAACTTTTGAAATTTTATACAAGTGCTTTGCTATTTACCTAGGTAGCTGCTGACATTTAGTTTCATTACTTGGGAATTTATAACATGATATCTGTATGTAATCAAAATTACGCAATAGTTCCTTCAGGCTGATGCTCTTGTTGCCCAGCTGGCAGAGCGGATCTGGACCCAGCACAGCCTGCAGAACACAACACCATCCACTCCAGAGAATACAGGAAGTGGCTGATTCTAACAGATGGAAGTTATAGTGGCTTGTGAGCTGGTTTAGCACAGGAAATATGTTGAATCAGACATGCAAAAGCTCATAGCTGGAGATAAGTTTTAATAAAGCAGACTCCTTTCCAGTCCAACCTTATCCCATGCAAAATGCATTAAGAGAAATTGCTTTGGTGCAAAGTCAGCCCTACCTAGCATTCTTTGTCATTTAGTGAATCTCCAGTCCTGGGGAGAATACACTGCATCCAGAAAAGGCAGCACAGGGCACAGGCACAGGACATGGCATAGCAGGAAAAAACATTTGGGGTTTAATTAAGTATGGGAGCACAGGTACTGACATGTCATGACAGTAAGTAGGCATTGCTCAGGTAAAAGGAATGGCATAGAATAAGGATGCAGGCATGGGCACAGTGTAGCATGGGTGCTGGCGTGGCAAGGCAGGAAGGGACAGATGTAAGCATGGTACAACTTAGAGTACAGATGAAAATGGATAGCGTGCATGGAGATGCTGGTACAAGCATGGTCCAGCACAGGAACATAGATGTGGGCATGGCTGAGCATCAGTTCCTGCCCTCTCTACTCCCTGAGGGAATCTCAGTGTCAGGTGTGGCTTCTGGTCATCCTGGGAGCATAACAGACCTCCTCAGCATGTTTCTGACAGAAGACATAGACTCTCTCCACTGAAAACTCATACAACACCCTGTAAATACTTTTACCGTTATGTGTGCAATATCTTTTGATGGACTTTGATTCCCTGAAAATTTGGGGATTTGATGCTCTATACCAGATCTCTTAGGTCTCCCCTGTGACCAGAGGATCAATGACTTTCATTGAGCCCCATCCCATTCCAGTGCAGCTGAAGATGAATGCTATGCAAAGGCATGAGAAAGACTCAGAGATGAGGAGGTTGAGGTGGTGAGGGGTAGGCAGTAAGGACAGAGGGAAAGGGAGTTTTGAGCATCTGGGGTGAATCAAAGGGAGACCTGTTCGCAAATGGAATGGTCTGTGGCAGCTTGTCTGTTGTAAGCCTCTGTGAAATGAGGACTTCATGCGGATTTCTTAACATCCTTGCCTTAAGATTCAGACATATGGTGGATATATTTCATTTTCAGTATGATTTAATGTTGTTGATGAATAGAAATATCATTGACAATTGTCATTATCTCTACATATGATGTGTTTTTGTTTGTCTGTCTGTCTATTTGGTTGGGTGGTTGGTTTTTGGAGATAGGATCTCAAGTTACAGCTCTGGCTATCCAGCAACTCACTATTTAAACCAGGCTGATCTGATCAGAGATCTGCCTGCTTCTGTCTCATGGGTGCTGGAATTAAAGGCATGAGCTACCACATCCAGCTGTACATATGGTTTAAACAGCATTCCAGTATTTTTAAAAGTTATTCCTTCCCAGTATTTAATGAAAGGTCTTTAAAAATTCAAGCAAACTCATAACAGACTTTCCTCTAATCACATATGAAAGAAAACTGCTTCACATGGTGCAGATTTGTTCAGTCACGTTGAATTACCTCTTCAACGACAGGGGAGATGTTGAGTGGAAATGTGTGTGAGATTTCATTCAGCTTTATAATGCAGTCCTTCCCTCTTTAATGACAGCAATCTGTGCACATTCATGTGGAAGAGAGGGAGATGCTGAATGGCTTCTGAAATTTCTCATTTATTGTCTGTGTTGACTTAATGAAAAGTGTGAACCAAACTTTCTGCATACTTCAATCAAATCCGTCATCAGATGGAGTGGTGTTTGTGTTTCACATCACAAGCCTCTTAAGGTGTTAAAATTGGTCATCCATTCAACTCGCTGGCGTCTTACATCCCCCCACACCCACATGCATTCATGCCTACATACATACACACAAACCTATGCACATACAACATACATGCACAGACTGACACACATAGGCATGCACATACATGTCTATGCACATGAATGCACATTCCATACCTACCTACAAACATACACACTTCCATTGCTGTTCTCCCCAGCCACACTAGTACTGATAAGCACACGTATCAGAGCATACATATTTGGGCACACATGCAGACACTAAAGCAGATGGATGTCAGCTCATAAAAACACAATGTCTATTAAAGACTGCTGTGAAGAAAGGTTGCTAAGATCCCCTTAACAATGTTGCTGCTTTTGCAACCCTGCAGCTGACCAGACAGAGATGTTGTTCATAGGAGACGCTGTGCTGCAGGTCAGTACCTTATCCTTTAATCCATAACTCTAATGCACCTTTAAATTTTAAACTTATTCCAATCAATCATTATGCTTAAAATTCTTCATTTGTCATTGTTCAGGTGAATGGCATTAATGTAGAAAATGCAACCCATGAAGAAGTGGTAAGTCTCACCTCACATTGTGTTACTGTCTTCTAAATATTTTTTATTAACTTACATTTATCTGAATGTGTTCATAGACACAATCTTAGAATTGAAAAGTAGTACTTGAGTTAGCTAATCGCAACACACCAGGGACCTTCAGGTCTTCACAAACACTGATGAAAACACATCAGATTTTTCCCACTTTCAATTCAAGGGCACAGAAATTCAGGAAACATTTGACTTACTGCACTGTCTAGAGGGTCACCTCAGGACAAAAAGCAGAATCTGCCAGGCTTCCCTCAAGATCTTTCTAGTACCACATAGAACCCTCACTGTGCAGTAGTCTTCAGTTTCTGACCCATTGACTCACTCCAGCATCTTAGTGTGTAAAATGTATAGTCTGGAGGAGTCAGCTGATAGGCACATTTAGTATTTGCTTAAGGTGATGTGGGTCAATGGTATTCATAAGCAATTCACTCCAAGAAAATGGACTTGGGTCATGTTGGGTTCAAAGGGCAAAGAGTGATGAGCATCAAGTCTAAGTGTTTGGGCAGAGAGAGAGAGAGAGAGAGAGAGAGACAGACAGACAGACAGACAGACAGAGAGAGAGACAGAGAGACAGAGAGAGACAGAGACAAAGAGACAGAGAGACAGAGAAAGAGACAGAGAGACAGAGAAAGAGACAGAGAGACAGAGAGAGAGACCCACAGTGTAACCATTCGGGGGGGAACCTGGTGCCATGGGGCCTGTGTAATAAGGGTACTAGTTGCCTGTGAGAGAGGGGGCAAATATAGAGATGCCACATTTGAGAGACAAGATGAAGGAGGAGGGGAGTGAGGTACTGGCAGAGCAGGCCACACGCACAGGGGATGAGCAGTAAGGAGAAGAAGAGAGTTACTGAAATAGGAGGCAAGCGTGAGATTAGAGGATACCCCCTTTGGGTCCCTCTCGGGTCTCATTCTGTGTTGCAGTAAAACTCAAATGGGTTCTTAATTGGTTAGCATTACCTAATGGGTCCTTCTTTTACCCTTTCACTCATCGGTGCTTTTTTGGTAAGTCAGTTCTATTCTGAATCAAGGCAGAGTCTCCTTTCTGCCCAGAGCTGAATTCACATGAACCCAAAGGAGCATTTGAAATGATTTGTGCCAAAATGAAGACCTGCTCGGCACAAACAACTCATTTACTTATTAATTTCCTCACTGGGGGCATACTTATTGCTGTTTCCTGTATGCCAGGCAAGAGTGAGATTCACAAATGGCCAGACATGTTTCTTGGCCCCTAGAGATGTTGGAAGTTATGATCAGCTATGGCAAGCATACTCATTATTGGATTACCAGATTTAGTAATTAATATTGCTGTTTGTTTTCTGCAAAGTATCATTTTAATGGTAAGAAAACATACTATAATTGAAAGAAAGGCCATGCACTTTTTAACACTAGTAATATTGTAAATAAAATTAAAAGCATTTATCTAAGAAACAATTTCTTGACTAAATGGCATGTAGATTTTAAAAATGTTGTTACACCCAAGAAGTACTTGACACTAATATACTTTTATCAAATTTTATATCTATATTATTTGTGATGTAAAATAAATTACAAGAACACTTAATTACATACGTAATCTTAATTTGTCAGGATCATAAATTTCATAGAGATATTCCATTTGTAAAAGATCTCATACATTGCACAGTTATGTCCTCTCAATCTTACAACAAATTCTGGTTTTGGTTCTTAAAGAAAAATTATCAGTTGCTGCTAAAGAAATATAAATTGTACACTTGATGAGGATACAGATGACTACTTATTGTAGGGAGGTACTTACAAGAGAAACCAGCAACCCAGGTTAGTCTCAACAGCTTTCCAAGACCCGACTGGAACCCCAAAAAGAGAGAGAGCACCTCTCTCCTCATTCTTTTATCCATGACCCGTACACACCTGTAGCCACGCCCCAAATGGGTGTGGTCAGTGGCACGGGTAACTGGATCTCTCCCTACAAGTTGCACCCAGAGAAAAAAAATCTTTCTAACATAAATCTACCTGTAAGGTGATGTGTCTGCAAGGTGAATCTTAGTCTGCTGATTTGAAAAGAGAAATCTATGATTTGAGGTTGATAACAATTTTAAACATATAAATATGTGATTTGATAGTTTTCTCTTTTTTGGCACAACTGTGTGCTTCTGTCACAGTGCTGCATAATATTATAGTAGCTGTGGGAGACAGCAAAATGTCCATACTCTCACTGTGTACATTCTCAGATGTGTGGCCACTCAGAGAAAGAAAACTGATGGTTGTTTATCAAGCAGACTTGAGTCCATTTTGAAGCATTGTGGTACACATGCTACATAGTTTTTCATTTATCAACTAAGAATAAATTTGAAAGAATAATAATAATAAAATGAGCTCCTGTTTTCCTGAAGAAAATGAAATAAGTAATAAAAAGTAAACCAGAAGCTATGGAATTGGAACACAGGAAATAATGAGAACGTTAAAAAGTAAGCAAGCTTGTGCACAGGAGCTGTCAATCATACATCCATGTTTCTCGCCATTCCTCCAGCTGTAATCCAGATAACTGGCTACTTTAAATATCTTTCAGCTGCTTAGGGAGGCTTTGATCTAGATATGGATGCTTCAAGGCAGCTACTATCACTGAAGAGACTCCATTCCAGTCACATCTGTCATGGATACTACACAGTTAACAGCTTTGCTTCAGGACACTCTGCTTAAGTTATGGCTCCTGTAGATACCCTGCCAGGGCTACTTGATTTAGCCAAAACAGTTTCAGAAGACCCTGAGACAGCCCAGCCACCTACACACACATTGCTCCATTGATGTCCCTGTAGCTGTTCCCAGTCTGGAGGGGAAGAACCCCTCCACAGCCCATGACTGCCAATGGGCATGTGTGATTGACTATGTAAACAGTTATCTTCTCACCTGTCGTGGTAGCAGTCAAACAGACTTACACTGCCCCCCCATTGCTATACCCTTGCCCCACTGGGGTCTTTATGATGGGTAAGGCTAAGCTGAGCTGATAACATGAAGAAGGGTGCTCAGGCTTCCAACCCAGACATTCCAACAGCCCCTAGAGGGTGGATGAAGAGTTTTGAGTAATGAGAGACAGAGATTCAAAAGAGCTGAGATTTAGACTTTGGAGTGCTGAGACCATCTATACCACAGAATTGTTGATAAGATGGTAGAGAGCTGACCCTACAGAAGGCCAGCACCTATAGAAAGCAAAACCATAAAGAGTTACAGGACCTAGCACTGTAAGAACTCTAGAGAGCAATGGGACTCACTTTGTCTAGCTGCCAAGGAATTGTAACCCTGAGTGTGGAAGACCCTGACACCCTGAACTCACAGTTGGTTGAGCTTTTCATTGTGTATCTGTGATTTCAAACTGAAAAAAAAGTAATTTCTCAGTTGATGGTTCGCATTGCCCCTGTCGCTCCAAGCATTATGCTGCTAATCAGTGATGAATTTGATTCTACCAGAGACATTGGGAGAGGAGAAGACATGTATATGCATATTTACTTTTATGCAAGCATGTGAAATATGTGGAACTGTGTATGCTTGTATAAACATGTGAAATGTGTACCAGATGACCTGTTTTTGAAAATCCTAGGAGAAGCCAAGCCTCCAACCATAGGTAGAACTTCCTTTTCAGATAAACCTTTCAAAACCTTGAGATTCAACAGATTATATGCAATCCATTCTCATTATATAGGAGACTGTTACTTTACAGTCTGCTAACCATATCTTCAGAAACTGTTCTAGCGATGTCAAGATTAATATTTAATTGAATGACTTGGTGTTGCCCAGCAAGGTTGATTCACAAAATTAACCATTACAGCCAGTTATAAACTGCTGTATTATGTGATGATCATGTTGAAATATGCAAAGGAAAATACCCACACTTGAAAATTGTCTTATCTTTCTTCAATTGGCACATAAAAAGGACCTGTTACCTTGAGTTGTAAAGAAAATATGAAATTATTAAAATATAAATCCAAATATGAAAAATGCGCAAATGGAGCTTTTTCATACCTGATAATGATGAATACTCCAAAGAATGTCTTCTTTCAATTAAAATTCAATTTCACTTAAAATTCAATTGTCTAGGTACCTAAGTACCTAGAAATCATGTGATGCAAAGGAAAGGAAAAGGTGGAAACTGCTTCAAAGTTTGTAATTATTCATGGAAGTAAGACTTTTGATTCTCCTCAGGCTGGAGATTTCTCATGTTTTACTTATAATCTGTTTAAGCACAGATAAGAAGTCAAGCGGTAAAATGCGCCTGCTGGAAAACAGCAAGCCCTAGTGGATGCTAAAATTGTATTTATTTCCCAACACAGTAAAGCATGTTGGACCCGAAGCCTGCAGCAGCTAACATGACGTGGGAAGCTACTAAAACAAAGATTTAGCTATGGCATGCATGTGCCTTCTAAGTAGAGGCCTGTGTTTAAATTAAGCCAGGTTTAAAAAAAAAGCTAAGTGAATGTTAGAAGCTAGTTATGAAAATGTATAATCTTGGTTATAAAATCAATTGGGGTAACTTTTTTAAAATACACCTTACTTACTTAAAACCAAGAAACATTCACAGCTGCAGAGGATCTTGGAAAATGAAGTTTCTTAGAGCACTGGGAAGGACGGTGGCTGAACCCACGGGAAACCTAACTGTTTGTGTGTTTTGTTAAGGAGGACACAAACAGACATCTATTCACCTCAGCCATGGCAAGCCAAAGAAATTTTTCCACCTGTCTGGTTGGTGAGCCGCTGAGTTTATTAGGGCTACATAGAAGAACATGGGTGGCTCAAGGCACCTACATCATGTAAGGCCCACTTCAGCATGGGCAACTCATAAAACAGATGTGCCCAACAGATGTGCAGGCAACTCCTCCAGAGAGATTTTCTTCCCCCTTTTGCTACTTTCACAGCCTTACAGAGAAGACTTGTGAGTCTTGTCCGTTTCTAAACTTGCTGAGCCTTGTGAGTTTCCTTTGTTTCCTGAGTTCTAGAGCC